TCACCCTTATGTCACCATATCCTGTGCTTTCCTCTTACAGGCTTTGTGCTAGAATATCCCATTCAAGAGCTTGCTAAAAACTATTTCATTCTTTTCCTCTCACCCTTCTGGCAGGAGGTGTGTTCCATAATCTGATTGCTCTCACAGCTAGAAGCTTCTGATTTCCAGCTTAAATATGCTTGTGGCCAGTCAGCAGTCACTTCATATGGAGTAGTTCAAATTCATGCTCATGTCTGTGGATATTCTAAAATACAGAAGCTGATGTCACTGCATATGAAAAACTTCCAGATCTGTTCTTCAGGTTTCAAGATGGAAAATTTATAAATATGCTGAGGAAAAGGAACAGTTTTTCTTTCTTGTGTCAGTGCGTAGATGACCTGAATGACAATACAAAGGAAATGAAGATGTAACACAGGAAAGGCTGAAAAGAGGGTGCCAGCTGAGGGCAGAATCAGGAGACTCAAGACCAGGTGACAGGCATAATGAGGTTATCAGCTTGATGGATTCAGGAGGGCCAGGAGGAGTAACACATGAAATGAAAACTGCTGCTTGCAGTAGTGGGAATGGTGCCTTGCTTGTGAGGGAAGAACCAGTTCCCTTCTTCTGTTTTCCCAGAAGATGTGACAACAAAGGTCACACTCGTCTGCCCACAAAATAGTGTATGTATGTCCCTCTGTGGGACATATGTGAGAACTGACAGTCGTCTCCTGAATCAATACTCACCTTTATGAAGGAGAAAATGCTTTCTGCTGGACTGACGGTTATTTCATCCCATTGCAAACCATAACAGATGGGTTTTCTTCAAACCTCTATGCATTTTAAGATTGTATTTACACTCACCAAGCAAGTCTTCTGTCTAAGAAGGGAAAAAATAACATTCTCCTGCTTCTTCATTTTCTCTCTCCCCCTGGTGCTGTGCTTTGCCAGCGCTGCTGGCTGGGTCCTACTCAGCTTCTTTACTGCCTTCTGACCAAGCTGCTTCTGCCTCGTAAATGGTTATCTGTGTCTCACTTTGGAGGTAGGAGTTCCGGCTCCTTTGAGTTCAGCAGTGGAGGCTCTGTAGTGTAGAGTCAAGTACCAGATAGAGCAGAGAAAAATATAGCTATCCCTCATTTTCTCCAGAGAAAAAGTGAGACTGATGCTGTTACCAAAATGAAGACTGATGAAAATGAGACTGATGCTGTTACCAATATGTGCTACTTCCTGTAGTAAAAATGTAGGGGGTTTTTTGAAAGAAAAGTGAAACACACAAATTAGGTATTAGTATTATCACTCTTTCTATGACAGGCATCTGCACTTTTGCCATCCTAGCAAAGTTTCAGTTAGCAGAGGATATTTAGCCAAAATGAAAATTCAGTCTGTGTGTATAATAAATGCTGCTGCCGCCCAACCTTCCATTCTTCAGTCAGCAAATAGCTCTGTCATGTCACAGTCATGTCCTACCCTGAAGACAGATGCATTTCAGTGGTGTTTCTTGCTTCTTTTTTTTTTTTTTTAATGTAAGATAGCAGTGTTTCATAAAAAGCCTGCTTGGGTCAGGACAAAAGCTTCCATGCATATGTAACATTGTGATTAGCATCTTGCAAGGAAGTGGCTAGCGCACAAAGTGCTATCTCCTGGTAGATCAAACAGCTGGCTTGTCCTGCAGCTGCTTTAGCATAAAGCTAGTGTTTGGGAAGGAAGCCTCAAGGACAACCTGAAGTTCTCAGTGACGGCAACACACAGCAAAACAGCAGTCCTGTTGGCACCTTGCTTTTCTGAGAGATTGCCTTATTCCTAGGTGAGCCCTGATCCCCAGCAACACAGGAGCTGGGCTGAAGCAGCCCAAGCAGTGCAGAAGCTCGAAGGGCATCAAGCTGGTTCCCCTTGGGGGAAAACCAACTGCTCAGTCCGGATCTGGCCTCTGACAGGCCCAGAGGGCATTCCCGGCCAGACAGCACGCTGGAAACGCCCGCCAACACCCACCCCGAGGGAGCAGCAGTCTCTGAGGGATGGTGAGGCAGGACAAGGCAGATCCGAGAGGGACGGAGAAGTCCCACCTCGGCTTCCCGGCTTGCCAGTCCTTCCCCAGCCATCCCTCACCCACCACCACCCGAACGGGCAGAGATGGCTGCGAGCAGCGCCGGCACAAAGCAACAAGCACTGTTCTGGCTGCTATAGGCCGTCCCGCGGTACGTCCTCAGCTCTCTTCCAACCACGCCAACACGGCCTCGCAC